GGCCTGGCTACCCTCGGAGCCGCGCACGGTAATGGTGTCCCGCTGCTGAGGCCGGGTCGCGGCCCTGGGGAAGGGAGTGGAGCGGGCCCTGAGGTTGTCGCTGTGTTGCGCAGCGGTCCTGGCAGCACTGTGTGTGTGTCTGTGTGTCTGTGTGTCTGTGTGTCTGTGTGTCTGTGTGCGTTTGGTTACGAAACCATGACGTGTTTTTTTCACACTCAGAATTTACATTTCCACAGTGAAATTTCTGGTCCTTAAGCCTCTTTGAAACTGTTTTTGGCTGCTAAGGTGAAGTGTCATTATGTTTGGAGATGGGTAGGACAAAGATTTGATTTGTAAAAACGATATCATGCCAGTCACAAGAATTTGTTGTTCTGTGTTTTGGTGATAATACTAATTTTCTGTACAGCATTAAAGTTCGGGGAGTTTTTTTTTAATTCGTGTTAGTCGTAGTGGTAAATGCCCTCGGGAATTTTTATTTTCTTTTTTTTAAACTTAGTTGGCACAATGGGTGACTTTGAGAAGACCCTGCGCCAGGACATGGTTTCTCAGCTGCATGACTTCGCTGCTGCTGGAGACACAGCCAGGCTGAAGGCTCTGCTCAGGCGCTCCCCGTCACTGCTCAATGCGTCCGCAGGGAACGGCTGGACAGCCCTCATGTACGGTGCCAGAAATGGACACCTTGAGGTTGTGCAGGTTCTTCTTCAAGAAGGGTAAGCTGTTTAGTAGATGCCATTCAAGAGCTCTATTTTGCACCCCCCTTTTTGCTCCTATCACTTTTGTCTCAGAAGGAAATTTACCAGACAGGTAGTGGTAGAATTTTCAGAGCTAAAACTCAGGAAAATGTATTCTGTGTCAGTTTACAACTGGGTTCTGCTGTTGCATCATGCTTTTTGTATTTGCTAAGAAAGTCTTAAAGTTACAAGCATCTCTAAAGTCACTCCTTTGACATTCAAAGTTAAGTTGTCACTTTTCACAGAATAGACAGAACAAAGTTTGTACCCTAATTCCAACCACTGTATTGAATGTTTTCAATATCTGATTGTGTATTTGATTGTTCCACTAATTTTTTTTTTTCTAAACTTGATTTGTAATCCATTGGAATCTTTGTTAGTGCAGGATGTTTGCTGACTCTTCAGCAGGACATGACAGACTCACCTTTTCCAAAGTTACTTCAAGTGGAAAATGTTTTAAAACTAAATTAGAATCAAATGTGTCTAAGTTTAATGTTAATCAAGCCCAGGCTGTTCCTTTCTGAACTCCTAATTACAGAAAAAAACAATTCATTTTGTAGTTAATGAGTAACTTCAAGCATAGCATTCCACAGCCTCCAGTAATCATCCCACCCATTTTTGATTTTTTTTTTTTCAGTCATACCCAGGACCTGTAGCCTCTGCTGGGGCTCAGAGTAGGGCATTAGATGAACCACTGGATTTTACTATAGTCAGTACATTCCAGTACATAGAGGAGTATCTCAGTGCCAGATTTTGTGTATTGAGGAATCTTTTGAGATCCTGGGAAATTTATCAGTTGGTAAATAGGATAACAGTTCTTTAAGTTATGCTTTTCACTAAAAAAAAAGTGAATTTTGCTTTTAAATGTCCTGTTCATGGTTATTCTGTTAGGTAATGGAATATAGTTAATGAGATGATGCAGTGGCCTGATTGGTCTCCTTTTAGTTAATGCTTAGAAAAATTGCTTTGACAATTACAGTTGCTGGTTATAAAAACATTAATGTCTCTGAAGATAATATTTCATGACATTACAGAGAATAATTCTAGAAGGCTAATCAGCTGATTTTTTTTATCACAGAACTGTAGAATCATAGAATGTCCTAAGTTAAAAGGGACCTACAAGGATTAAGTCCAACTCATAGTCCTGCACAGCACTGTCTCCAAGGATCACACCGTGTACTTGAGAGCATTGTCTAAATACTTCTTGAACTCTGACAGACTTGGTGCTGTGAGCACTGCCCTGGGGAGCCTGTTACAGTGACCAGCCACCCTCTGGGTAAAGAGCATTTTCCTGAGAGCCAACCTAAACCTCCTCTGAGAGAGCTTCATGCCATTCCCTTGAGTCTCCTGTTATGAGTTGCTTTAGCAGCAACTTTAGCAAAAACTTGTAATTTGTGTTTTGAATAGTTTTCTAAACTGTACTCAGATTCCCTCAAAAACAACTGAGTTTAATATAAAATCTCAAAATGTTCTTGCCTGTGATACAGTTACATGTGTATCAGCAACATTAATATTACTGTCATCTTCTGGTTTTAAAAACTGATGAGTCCAGTATTTATTACATAATTTGTAGTTTACAGTGACATTTCAGTTTTACTTACCAATTTAAGATTGGCAAATAATTAAATTGTGTTATTTTGACCTCCAATCAAGCTCAACCTATTTAAGGTTTGGGTTTCTTTTTGGTTTTAGTATTTAAATGTATATGATGAGGCAGCATTCCATTATCTGTTTCTATATCTGGGTGACTAAAAGATCCCTACAGGAACCAGCTTCTGCCACTAAGCAGAGGCTGTATTCTTGATTTTAATTTTATGGTAAATCATCAAATATCCTCAGTTAGAAGGGACCTGTTGCAGTGCACAACTGCAGGATCATGTCCAGGGAAGCTATAGTTTCTGAGAACCAGCATGGGACAAGAACTAGACGGGCCCCTGTTCGTGAGACCATTTATTCAGCATGGGAACAAAATGTCATTCAGAGACAGAGAGCCCTGAACAAAGGCAGGGTGATGGGTTTTGAGGGACAGAACTAGGGTGGAGTTCAGGGTAAGGGACCACTAGGAACACAGCAAGGGAGAACCCCCCCCAGGGATTCAAACCCAATCAGGACTCCTGGGCCACCCCTCACAAGGGGTTTGGGGTGGGACAACTTCATCGGGCTCACACAGCCCATCCCCCAACACAGGAGATCAAAATTCACACACATGGCTTACAGCCATGCCTCTCACTTTAACAATGCTTATCTGAAACTAAATCTTTGCCTCTCTGAGGCACCTCACAACAGGGACCCACAAGAATCAACTTCTGCAGCTGTACAGGACATCCCAAGAATCCCACCATGTACCCATATGCCCGAGAGCATTGTCTAAACACTCCTTGAACTCTGGCTTCGTGTCCTGTCATTGGTCACCAGAGTGAAAAGATTAGTACCTACACCTCTGCTTTCCCTCATGAGGATGTTGGAGATCCCAGTGAGGTCTCTCCTCAGTCTTCTTTTCTCCAGGCTGAACAAGCCAATTAACTTCAATAAAATATTTTATTGTAAATGTGTTTTTGCCGGTTCTAGTAGCTTCTAGAAATTAATGCTTGTTTAGGGTGCTTTATTTTCTTTTCTTTTTTTTTTTTTTTTTCCCATTTTGATTTCTGGTTATGAGGAACAGATTTTCAAAGCTCTGTTTTTGAGCCTTTTTTTGATGATACAGTGTGTAGAATTTTAATTAATTCATTGTCTTTGTACTACTTAATGAAATTTGGTGAATGATAATCTGGAAAGGATCCACAAAAATGTGAAAGACAGCCTTGGCAAAAGAAAAAGAAGTATAATTATATTTTGTCACCACAATGCTAAACATTTTGACTAAAGATTATCCCAGTGTAGACAGAGTATGTAAAAGTTCTTGAACCTTAATAGTGTCAGATGTATATGCTGGAGGTAGGAATAATACAACATCTGGGCCCTTCCTAAACATATTTACTCTGGTAACCTCAGCTCCTTTCTGTTTCTTTAGGTGTGACCAATCCATCATTAATAAATCACAGCAGACAGCTCTGGACATTGCTAAATTTTGGGGATACAAACACATAGCTAATTTGTTGGCTAATGTGAAAGGTGGTCAGAAACCTAGTTTTTTGTCAAATTATGTGGAAGAATATGAAAATTATTTTGGCACGACGCTTCTGGACAGAAGGAGTAATAAAAGAACAGATTCCAAGTGGCTAAGTGAAAAACAAAGCCATCCAGCTACAGTATACATCCTCTTCTCAGATCTAAGTCCCTTGGTTACTTTGGGTGAGGGAAGAGAGAGCTCACAGCAACCAGAAGTAAAGCTTTGCAGGCTGCACCACAAGGATGTGGAAGAGTGCATGAACCAAACCGAAGAATGTACCTTGGTTTTTCTTGGAGTTGAACTTCAGTATGATGAGAACCTGATGGCTGCTTGCAGTGGAAGAGGTCTGCAAGAAGAAGATGGGTTAGTTGCTTGGTTTGCTCTTAGCATAGGTTCTGCTTCTGCTGAAAAATTTAAACAGAAGCATGAGGACTGTTACTTTCTTCATCCGCCAATGCCAGCATTACTGCAGTTACCTGAAAAAGAAGCTGGTAAGATGCATGAAGTGCAGCAGGTACAAAATGTATAATCAGAAAGACATGCTTTGTTATTCCCTGAGGTATAATTCAGAGAAAACACAAACCAGTGCAAAGAAATTATGTGTTTTCAGTGGCTTTAGTAATATTCTGATTTTAAAAGCCTGGTAGTGGCTTTGTGAGGAATTTTGTCTGTTAAGAACATGTGAATTTGCAAAGGACTAATTTTTCCAATGACAATAGTAGACTGTAAAACCTATTGATATCATGGGTTTTAAACAGTAATATTTAAATATTCATGAATTAATATTATAAACATAAAACATTACCGAGTTTTGAGTGAGTAAAGAAATTATTAACTAAAAATAATAATTACGAACTTATTAACTACAAGAAATGAGTACCTAAGTCCTTTATAACAGTGTGTTGGATACTCATCTGACAAGGAGGTGTTGAAAAGTCAGAATGACAAAGTGAATTAGTGTTAGTGAGGACATTAAGAAAATTAAAAAAAAAAAATACTTGATACATGTAATTTTGGCAGTTTGCCTACACAATGTGACTTTTGTGAGAACCAGAGTATATTGATTTGGATTAATCTGTTCCTGAATGTGTATAAATTGCCCTGTAGATTTCTTTTCTTTAATACCATGTTCTGTTGTATTTGCTGTGCTGCAGAGATGAAGATCTGCATAACTCATAGTGCTCAGCTTCTCTTTCAGCTATGATTATGATTCAAACTACGCTCTTGACTTTTTTTGTGTTAAACTTCACTACTTGATTTTTCTGTGCTGTTAAAAGCTTAACATGAATTAGTATTTGATCTTGTGCATTTTCAATGTATTGTTTTAAAGGAGTAGTAGCCCAGGCAAGATCTGTTCTAGCATGGCACAGCCGCTACCGATTCTGCCCAACATGCGGGAGTGCAACCAAGATTGAAGAAGGGGGTTACAAGAAAACTTGCTTAAAAGAAGATTGTCCTAGTCTCCAAGGAGTTCACAACACGTCATATCCAAGAGTTGGTGAGAATACTCACTCAAAAGTGAAGTATATATGTATTATATGCATGTAAAACAATTTATTTCTAGTTATTTCTGCTGCTTATTTTTGTCCTAGGTTTTCCATACTTGTTTCTCCACAGGCTTTTGTGTCTCTTTTCTGTTTAGGATTAAGTAGTTCAGGCTTCTCTTTCCTGTACTAACTAATGATACAAAATTGCTGTGACGGTGCAAACCTTATTTCAACACATAATATCAGTTAGAAATTCCAACAGTCTAAATGAGATACCAGCAGCACAAAGGGTCACATTTTACTTTTTTACTTAAAACTAGATGGCAATAAAAAGGGGAAAAGATCATGAGTTGATAAGGTTGCTTAGATCAATAGGAAAAAATACTAAGTTAGAAAGAAAAAGACAGATACCATGACTAGACGTGAGAAAATTTGTGCAACATCATATGAGAAACTGATAGCAAAGAGTAAACAAAGTCAAAGGTGGAAAGTAGTTAGTATTTAGTCAGTATTTACATTGTCAGCAAAGTGTCTCCTTATTTGGTGTTTAATCAAAAATACATTCTTCAGACCTCTGTGGTGAAGAGAACATGCTAATAAAAAAGTTTGCTGCAGAAACTGTTGGTATATCCTGTATGCAAAGCTAGGTCAGTACTGCTGATCATCTTAGTAGATTGTGTGCTTTGGTTACAGACAATTTCTGTCCTGCATTTCAAACCTTTGTTAGTAAACTGCTTCTACTAGACTTGTATGTTGCACAACCAAATAAAGAAGTATCTTGCATGGAGAGAAACCCCAAAGTGAAATGAAATAATCAACGTGAGTGAAATAATATTTACTCTGAGCATGCACACAATTATGATTTCAGTATAATTTTTGTCTTTATATGCATTGGCATGGAATAGACTGGAAGTTTTTACTGCATTTAAGTCCCTCAAATGTTGAAATATATTTGCTTCATGTTCTTTGCAGATCCAGTTGTGATAATGCAAGTCATCCATCCAGATGGGAACCACTGTCTTTTAGGTAGGCAGAAGAGGTTTCCCCCAGGAATGTTTTCCTGCCTTGCTGGATTTGTAGAACCTGGTGAGTAATTTAATTTTTCTTTATCAAATGTATTTTCTCAATAACAGTATTATACCTTTACAAGTACAGAGAAATATCTTTTGTGTTGTCTCAAATTGAAGTTTTTTGCTTCCTGAGAAAGGAGTTGTTATAATAAATATGCTTATTCTGTTCTTTGCAGCTGCTGATTTATAGAAAAAGAAACAACCTAAGTAAATAAAAATATTAAATAGTTTTCACATCATCAAATCACTATTTAAATGAAAAAAAAAATTTAAAACATGTCACATTGGCTGATGATACTGAGCAAAGGATTTTAGCATAGGAAAAGTAAGTATTAAAGTGGAAGTTAAAATTACCATGAAGTTAAGCATATGCTTATGTTTACAGTCTGATTAATTCTGTGGAATATGAGTAGAAATTACAAAATTCTGAAAGAAAGATAAACAGATATTTCAGTAACTATGTCAAGCAATAAAAGTTGAAATTAGTTACAATTATAAGTACCTGCAGAACAACTTGTAAAACTTATATTGAGAATAGATCTTTATCACCAGTGAAATCATAGTGAATAAATACATTCAGTAAATGAGTGCAAGTTGACATACAGTGACAGCATAAACAAGTTTATTCAGGTATCAGTCGAAAGAAGTCAAGATATTTATTTCTGATTATATACTTGTCCTTTAATTAGCCTTTAATCAGGGAGTGCATGTGTGCGTATGTAGGCCGGTGACCCTCAGCATTCCAAACAAATACATCCACAGTTTTTTGTGGATCTGGAAGCAAAGCTTTCCATTGCAGTTTCAATTTAGTATTGTCTGCGTGTGTTAAGACAATGAAGAATGAGTCAGGCAAAGGACAACAGAGAAAAGTGAGCAAGTATTCTAAATCTGTTTTCTTACTATTGTAATTCTAAATACTGATTTTTCAAGTTGTAGTACATGGTGGTGCAATCATACTGAAAATCCAGAAATTAACACTAGTTAATTTCTATCACTAGCTACAATGAACAGATCAATGTTTCAATAATTATAGGAATAATGCATTTTCTACCTAATCTTTGACATTTTAGGTATAGTGATAACGGTTTGTGTATATGGTGAGTTATCAATTCAGGAAATAAATACTATTATGGAGAAATTACTACACTTTCTTTTCAAAGTTCCATTTTGCTTTGGTGGCTGTTTTACCTTATTTAGACTTCTGTGTCATGTTCTGAGGTCTTTGCCCTGTTCCATGAACTAGATCTTTATAGATAATTGCCTTGGGCAGTTTCAAAGCTTTTGAGTCAGTTCAAAGTACAGCATGTGATGTTTGGAGTATTCTAATGAGCTGCTTGTTCTTTGCCCTTTTTGATTAGGCGAAACCATAGGAGATGCTGTTAGAAGAGAAGTAGAGGAGGAGACTGGAGTCAAAGTTTCCCATGTTCAGTACGTCTCTTGTCAGCCGTGGCCAATGCCCTCCTCCCTAATGATTGGCTGCTTAGCTGTTGCAGTGTCTACAGAAATTGAAGTTGACAAGAATGAAATAGAGGATGCCCGCTGGTTCACTAGAGAACAGGTAAAATTCAGTTTCATTTTCTTCTTCTATTGATTAGTCTGTGCCTATATTGGTTCTGGCATACAATAGATACTTGCTTTTTCAGAAAGTCAAATGAGCATGTGTACTCTTGGTTTTATCATACTACAGTTGCATTATATTGTGGTTGTAGTTAATTCACAATTAGAGAAAGACAGCTATTCTGTTTTGGGGGTACAAACACATAGCTAATTTGCTGGCTTATGTGACAGGTGGTCAGAAACCTAGATTTTGTTAAATTATGTGAAAGAATATGAAAATTATTTTGGCACGACACTTCAGACATTACTCAGTAATGTCTGAGTTACTTGCAAGTTCATTTTATAACATTTTTGCCAGTTTGCTCTTCACCTTTCCCTTTTGTGAGAGAGCCAAGTTATTTTAATCCATTTCCTTAGCAAGCCTCTGCTTTTCATGCAGAAGTAGTATTTAATAGCAGCATTCATCACAGTTTCTCCAAACAAGCATGCTACCAGTGTGAGGGTGGAAGTTAAAGTAAGGACACTGGGAATTCATTAGATTGAACATCTATTTTCATGCAGTACTATTTTAATATTCTGATATTAAATGCAGCTTACTGTGCATTAATAAGAAATCCTGCACTTAGCTTCCATCAGTAGTTAAAATATAGTTAAATAAAAGAGAGGCAAAAAAGACTTTCACAGAAGTATGTCAATTCATGAGTAGAAGAAAAGATTGCTTCACAGGTTTTCCCATAGGCAACTTGGGAGTTAAGCTTTTAGTAACACTGGACACCTGCCTAGCAGTTCCAAGTGTTTTGACTGTACATCACCTTGAAGGCAAAGTTAGTCACCTGCAATCTCGGTGTGTTTCTGTTTACACTGGGAACATTATTTTAAATGAATATCAGTTCTGAATACAACTAGTCACATGCAGATTGGTGTACAGCCAGAAATAAATATACTTCAAAAATGTACTCAAAGTGTATTCTCATAATACTTGCAACTGCTTCAGAAGACAACAAAAACACATCTCCTTTGGCACTACATATAAAAATTAAAATTATTTTTGTCACAGTGTAGAGCACCATCTGGTGGTCCTCGCTATAAAAAGGCTTCACAAAAACCTTAAACAGTATACTAGCAGTCTCCACAGTTCTGTTAGGAAGAAGGTATGCTTTGGGGCACATTAAGCTCAAAAATGTAATAATTTGCACAATGTGGGACTTTCTCTGTATCTACCTTGGAGAATCTCTTAGTATCTCTTTAATAGATACAGCAATGGTAGACTGATGGATCATTACAGGAAGTTAATTTCTGCGTTAATACAATGTTAGATTCTATGTAGTTTATAAAGCTGTCTTCTAAAGATAAAAATCTGTTTTTATTGCAGGTTGTGGAAGTTCTCATTAAAGGAAACCAGCATTCTTTCTTTGTACCACCAAGTCGAGCTATTGCACACCAGTTGATAAAACATTGGATTGGAATGAATGCTAATCTTTAATTCAAATAATTGATTTTTAAGTTACTTCTTCTATTATGAATTATGAATAATTATGAATAAATTAGAACTGTTTGTGTAGTGAATATGTAACCAAGTAATTTTCTGAGTAATTTACACTGGTTCCAGAGCTAAACTACAAAACCAAATAATTATCCCAAGCAAGCAAGCAACAACTAAGTAGAACTGGTACCTTGCTAAGTGCAGGCTATGGTTTTTGTTCTAGAATGAAATGATTATGCCTTTTGCTGCTATACTTTTTATGTTTGGCTTGGGCTTCCCCCACTGGAAGGTGTCATAGCATTACAGAAAGGGCTGTCTGACCTTGACTGCTGTTTGACTTCTCACATCCTCCTATTTGTCCTTAATTATAACTTTCTAATTTTTGCCTATCTCCATTCTTTAATTTTGACATGTCACAAAAATCTACATTCAGTGCTAAAAGCCTTACCTGCTATGTTTATTTTAAAGTTAATAGCATACATAATAGTGAATGTATGGTACTATGTATCTTTTACATTAACAACATAATTTGTATTAATGGTCTAGGCAGGGCATTTACTTGTCCATTCTGACTTGGCCTGCACTTCCCCAGTTGTATGTCAGCCTGAATTTAAAGGTATAACACAATGCTTTGTTTTTGAAAAAGGTGTTGGAGAACCATTCCCAAAAGCCTAAGTATTAGTGTTTTTATAAGATTGATTTACTTATTGATGCTAGGTAGTGAGTCATTTCATTCTCTGATAACTAGAAATGAAATTATTGTGTAATGGATAAGGAAGAACAAGACATCTCAAAATAAGCACAAAATTATTTAGTGAAATAGAGATGCTAAGATTGTTACTGCTATTAAGAATCTTACAGTTGAAAGAAGTATGTTAACTGCAGCTATAGGACTGGGATAGCAATAAGTTAGTTTAAATATTTATGTGTTTTTAATGCCACAGTTCAGATTTGTGCCTTAATTTATCAAGTTGTTTAAGATAATGATGATATTCTAAAAAGAAAAGTATACTAGTTTATTGTTAATTTCATTATATAATGGTTCGTAGTCTATCATTCTGCAGTCATTGCAATGAAATCAAAAGAAATGCAAATGACCTGAGGAAAATGCAATTATAGTGGCAAATGTAAACTTAATATTATGTGTTTATTTGAAGTAACTTAAATTGTTTTGAACAGTGAATGATGTAATATTTTTTCCAAAATTCTCAGCAACCTGGAATTTTAGGTTGCTGAGATCTCAGGTTGTACAAAACCTGATGTTCTTTTTTTTTTCCCCCATCCATGTCACATTGTGCTCAGCAGTTTTCATGTTTATTTGGTAGGGCAGTACCTAAGAAACTTTCAAGCAAGAAGCATTCCTGACAGACTTGGAGTATTTGACATATTACGTTGCTTCATTCTCTCCCTTGTTTCAGCCATTCCTACAAATAAAGACAATAAGGTTATCTCTTGAGTAGTCTGGCAAGGAGAAGGAAACAATAACGCTGCTTCCCTTAAAATATGCTTTTACAGAGAAGGCAAGTTGTGGAAAGCTGTTGTAGGCAACAGGTACCAGCAGGACTGCATGGTAACAATGGCATTAGTTGCAGGTTGCTCATAGAGTAAAGGAGAATATTGGAGAGTATGCAAAAAGTTGTGGAAGCTAAGCAATGCAAGGAAGTTTCAACCAGTAATGTGGTGATTACGTTTAGAGAGATGAACAACAAAGGAGTGAGGAGCAGACGGAAGAGGGAGGATAAAGCATAGAGCAAATATAGGTAGCACAAAAATAAGTAGTTTATCACTTTGAGGTAACTAAATGTACATGACTAAGACCCATTGGAATACTATTTTGTTGAGTAGAAAATTATGGTGAGTTGCTACAGAGATGTTCTTCTAACAGTGAAACTCCATACACCGTTTCTCTAATCAATACTGATGTTAATAATCTGCCTAATTTTTTTGAAAATCTGTATAACAGTATGTATCTGCAATTACAATGCTAATAAGTAAATAGAAAATTTTCACTTTCCTGCATGAAGAAAACCAGAAAAATAATTGTATGACAAAGGGAACAACCCTTAAAAAATCTCTGATTTTGAGCGTAATATTTTAATGATATTTCAAATCTAATAACTCCAGTGTGTCAATAATTTTTAGTCTTTATATATTTTCAAAATCTAAGACAGCCTTTTGAAAAAGCTTTTGAAACTTTCATTTCCTTCTCCCCACACCAACAGAAGAACCATTCGCAGGGAAGAAGACAAATCTCTATTGCTTAAGAAAACTACTTAGATAAATTTAATCTATTTAATGAAAGATTTTTCCTGGCTTTTTATTGCCCTTAATTTGCCTTGTTTGTAGGTCAGTTTTCGAATTTTAATTTGAAAATACCTATACATTTTCTGAATGACAGTTACTGTTTGCAGTTTAAAAAGCAAATATCAAATTGAAGAGCCAAATGCTGTGGTTGTCTGTCAACTACAGCATTTTAGGAAAGTGCCAAATTAAATGTAGAAGCAATTGAACAGAGCGTAGTGATTCTGACTGGAGTATTGTATGGGCAATACCTCCAGAAGATCTCAGTAGTTCAACTTACCCAGAAGAGGGCAGCAGCTTTGGAAGCAGGCTGTTTCTTGCCTCAAAGTAAATGTGGTACATTAAGAGAATAGTGTTAATTAAAAAATTAAAAAGGGGGTTTTTTTCTGTGCTGCGAAAATAAAGATCTCTCTCTTTTCTCCCTTGCTTGTACAACAGTATCAGACCAAAAAGAGTACACATGACATCAGATAGTACAAGGCAGATAATTCTGGATGTCCTGGTTTAGGGCAAATTTGGGAGAAGACCTCCAATGCCCCTCCCCCCCGGAAGGAAACCCACGTGCCCCCCCCCAACCGGTTCGGGAAGAGATTTCTCTGAGAGGAGTGGAAAAAACCTGTTTATTTCACAGGCACAGCACTACCCAGCACAAAAATGAATGATATCAAATTACAAAACCTCTCGCCCTTCAGAAGAGATGACAAACTTCAGAGGGTCTCTTTCCTGTGGGTGTTGGCTCTGTTATCAGTCCCTCTGGCGCTGGAAAATGCCGCTGCCCAGGCTGGGCTCCCGGTAGTCCACGGGTGCAAGCTCCCGGTGCTCCCCCGAGTCCCCAGTCCAGAGCAGGTTCGATTTGTTTCAGAAAAAGGGAAAGAAAACAGTCCAGGAAGAGCTCTCTGCTCCGGCTGGCTGGAAAGCCAAGGCGATCTGTGTCTTGTTGTCTGTCTGTGCTGTAGTCAAAACTCCCGATGCGGGGGGAGCAAGTACAGTCTGATAACAGACTTGGTGCTTCTTTTCCACTCACTTTTACTCTCAGATGGAATTTTAAGAGTACAAAACCTGTGTAGACGAATGGGGATACAATTTAACATCATAATCAACCCAGGACACTGGAGATGCCTTTTTATTCCAGTTTGCCTGTGCACTAAAGAGAATTACCTTCTATTCAGTACATAATTTGAAAATATTACATATTTAATCTATTTTTATAATGACTTACAGATAATAGAAATAGTAGCTTAATAAAGCAGCAAAATATATTATGTATTAATAAATAATAATTAATAATTGGAGAACAGACCAAAATTGATACTTCTATGCAATGTAACAACATTTTATGAAAGTATAACACTGGTTATGATATTTTTACTTTGCATTTGTCTCAATAAACATACTTCTTTTAACTCACTCTTCATTCTGGATATATGTAAATTTGTGAAAAGTAGAATCATTCCAGTGTTGATTCTATAATTTGAACATTGTATTTTCTATAGGAGTGTTGGCAAGTCAGTAAATGATTACGTTGAAGTCTGGAACATGTGAGGGAAAAATGGGTGGATGTCAACAGGCTGATTAAAGGTAGACCAGTCATGATGCCTCATGGAATTAAATATACTAATCAGATTCTGAGCTTAGCAGACAGAAATAGAAAAAGAAGTGGAATAAGACTGTGAACATTGCTCCCTCTTTTATCTTTAATTTTAATTAGGTAATCTAATTCATTAAGACTTTTCAGACAAAGCTGACATTTTGTATCCGCTGGGTAATTTAGTTGTTATTTTTATTATCTGCTTTGGCTGTGAAGAGTTAAATAACTGGTAGTCCTTTATTGCTTCAGTGATTTGAAGAATATGTATATACGGCATATCATTGCTGACTGAATTTGATAGTACAGAAGGCGGTAAGTCTAAAGAAAAAAAAAATTAACTTTTTATTCTATTAAGCCTTAGCAAGACAACCAACCCATGCTTCCTGCGCTTAGAAAAGCAAACTGTTCACAGACAGTCCATAACAGCAAGCATCTGAGGAAAATGAATATTGGCTCATGGCAATGGTAAGTATAAAACTTTTTTCTTTAAATTTGACTCTATTAGGTAATATTCTGTAGCTACTAATTGTTACAATTCATCATGGTTTTTATAAAATATGGGAATTCTGGAGATTTTTTTCACAGTGAGAAAATATGACTGTTTTTCTAAATGATGGATTTTTAAGATGGATATTTGATTCCTAAGACTGTATTGATTATCTTATTTTAGCATATAAATATTATACATTTAGTGGTATATAATTTTGGAAATTAAAGCCTACCTGAATGAACTTCTCTTCGTTAGAAATATTGCCTTTCAGCAACCAGTATTTCACGTTTGAATTTGAGAAGTACTATCATAAGACAACAGAATTAGTAGTCAAGAATGAATATTACATGTTGCTGAGTAGAGAAGCTTACTTTTGCATTTTTCAGCATTTAAATAACCCTGGATATTAATTTTTTTCCTTCTACCATGTCATCATCCTGCAAACTAAGCTAGCTTTGTTAAAGTACATTCTTATTTCTTTATAAGGAGAGAAGCATTCTAACATTGAGCTGTAGGTATTTTCTCAAGACCTCTGCCAAAGCTAAAAAAGAATACATGAAATAAGCATCTCAAATTCTTTTGTCATTCTAAATCTAAATTATTCTTTACTTATTTGGTGTAAATTGCTCCTCTGGAGAAAGTGACCCTGGAAAATACTGTGTCTTAGTTTTCCCATTTTAAATGCCAGAAATCAAATCCTGGAAGTTAGGA